GGATTGACCGTCACATTATAACGCCCCCACGGCTGAAAGGGCGAGCATGTTTGGTGGGACGGGGATTCGAACCCACGACCTTCAGATTGCGAGTCGAGTGCCTTATCCACCTGGCCATGCCGGGCTTGTTAGTTAGAGAGAGCAGAGTTTCATAGTGATAACGTTAAGATCAGATAGGCCTAGAACACCTGAAAAATTCTAGGAAATTTGACACCTAATTTTCAATAATATTTGAAGGTAGATTATAAATACGAGATCATCGAATCATCAAGAGATAGTTAAACAGACAGTGAACTAGCCATAGTTTATTTTCAATAGAGAAGTACAAAACATTTGATTTACGTTAGTGTAGTGCAGTTAGAATCATTTGTAAATGTAGGCCAACAACTGTTCAAGTTTGTAAAAACAAAGATATATACTAACTTATCTTCACCTACGTAGTCTGTACTTCGAATTATTTTCACCAGATAATATAAAAGAACCCGTCAACGAAAGAACACCGTTAAAATAATAATCATAATTCGCCAACTTCGATTATAGGTTTGAGTATTCGACATCACAAACAACAGTATTGATGACGTTACGAAGGGCGGGAAATTGGTGAAGCATAAATCCAAGATACATTTGAAATATAATAATAAGAAAGGGTTTCTTGTTTGTAGTATAAGTATCCAGTATTCTAATAACACCAGTTACATATTGCCTTTTTCTAAAGACATTATATTCATCTTATATTTTAAATCACATTCAGTCACACATTAAATCACACCATCTTTGCTAGTCAAGGAGAATTTTAAGAAAGGTTTTGAAAAGTATTGTGTTAAGTAATAAATTTTACTAAAAATAAATAAGGGAATGTTAACAATTCATATGACATGATTACAGAAAGTTTGTATTCAAAGATATCGCACAACCTTAAAGTTAAGTACATTTTTAGTTTTAAAGTTCAAGTACATGACAATGATTTTCACGTATTGGCACTTTTATTATCTATAAGGGTGACTCCAAACATATCATCCCAATGAGATGTGAAGTTTTCGATATCATTTATTCTAACCAAGGCCGTTAATTTATTGGTTGTTTCGTCGAGTTGGCCTTAAAGTTGAGTAGGTTGTTTCTCAGCTGTTGTAAGTACTAGGCGATTAACATTGGCCTAGTGTGTAGTTTTATTCTACAATGATAGGAGAGTTTCTTTAGATACAAGAAGCATTTTTCTCGCACATTCTAGAATTATTCCAACTAAACTCTCAGTTCTGGTTTGTAATAAAGTCTTGTGAAAGACTAGGTATTACTAATTATACAAGATTTCTTTAGGGTTAATTGACAATGTATAAAAGACTATATCAAGATAATTAGTTACCATTTATATCTTTTGACCACTTTTCAATGCACTTTGTAATAATTTATTGTTCGGAGAGTTTAAATATTTGGTAAAATAGAAGAATGCAAACTTCAGTTAACTATAATGAAAATGCTTTATTACTCTGACTGCAATTTTACTAATTTCACGTATTCTCCTAGAGTCTACAAATAACACTAAACATTCACTTGCTAATTTTCGCGCATCTTTCTCTATCGAACACAAACTCAATACATTAAAAATTGAACTCACTCAATGACTTGTTTATTTAACACAAATTGACTAACACACTCGTTAACTCAATGATAAATAATCATACAGTCTAGCTTAACTTGCATTTTACATTGCTCAAACTGTAAAGAAGGCTCTAATAATTAAATTACTCTCACTACATGATGCCAAAACAATACAAACTATATTACGAAACATCTATAATAATAGCTATGTCTAAACATACTTTCTTATTAGGACAGTGATTCGACTGTATTTAATGTAAACATTAAATTATACATTATAAATTGACTTATTTTTACCATATAATACGATTCGTTAGTCAGTTCTATGTACTACAAAAGGCATTATTTATACAAGATACATTCGTTACAAAAACACCTGTTTAAACATGTACCGAAGACATATTCTGATAGATACAACGCAATCACTTACCACTGTCATTGTCCACTTTACTACTCTGAGGTTTCCCAACCTTCCTCCAGGGCCTTTGATTTTATAAAAAAGTAATTCCAGACTTCCCATTTTTGTCCTATTAAGTAAAACTTTTTTCCACGAATTTCTTTGCTACGAAATTAATAAAGTAAATAAAAACTCTAGAATTTATAACTCATTCCAGTTTACAAATCAATTCGGTTGGAATAACTACATGTGCCTATGTTTCCGTTTATCAACGTATAATTTTAAGAACTGTGCAAGAAATCAGCTAACCGATGTTTCCGCATATAAAAGCTATCTTCAAGTTTATTACACCAAAAAAAAAACTTTTCAAAAATAAATCATGTTTATAAAGAATAAGAAACCAATTTCTAAAGTTTATCACCAAATACAATAACTACATACTACTATGTAACACCCTCCTTCCTAGCAGTAATAAGAGTTTGTGGAAGAATTATATACTGTATAAACTATCAGATAAATAGTTAAAACCTTGCCCTATATATCACCTCCTCCTACATCAAATCGTCGTGTCTGGGTGTAGTAAGCCGACACATATACTTATATCAGACTCTGTTCACGTGACTTGTCTTCAAGGTTAAATTTCAACATTTTTTGTTGTTGTTGTTGATCGTGTGATTCCACCAAGAATTGATCACTTCTGGAAGGGTTTAAAAAGTCTATTCCGACACAAAATATTTAAACAATCGCATCTTAATAATGTGTTTGGATGGGGAATTTAGAAATTTCAAGATGAGAATATCCCTTGTACTTAATAAACTTAAAATAAGACCAAAAAACTCGAGCACTTTTGTATACTTGACTATTCTTCTACGGGAAAACAAAGAAGAATAGTCAACTATTCGAAAGCCTTCGAGTTTTGGGTCCTATTTTAATTCTACTACACTGAAATGTGATCCTTTGTGCTAACTCTTTTATCAACCTTGTACTTAATGACATTGGAAAACAAGGAAATGTGTATCGAACAGAGACACCAGGACCATCCAGAAAAAACCTACAACAAATCGTATCTCAGCTGTGGTAAGCAAAGTGTGGCGTCTGTTAACAGGTGATAACGTATGAATAAAATGGTCAACGGTAAAAACAGTTTACGTACCTCAGACACCAGTGTGTCACATTATATAAACATTTCACGTACCCCAGACACCAGTGTGCCACATTATAAAAACAGTTCACGTACCCCAGACACCAGTGTGCCACATTATATAAACAGTTTACGTATCCCAGACACCAGTGTGCCACATTATAAAGAGTAATTTATGTCACTTGCACTCAGTTTGCTTCTACGACATATCTGTTCAATTGTCGCATATCTCAAGCAACTGAACAATTAAATGGCTATTCACATATTTCATATAAATACATACTAGTCAAGCCACTGTGCATTACTATGAAATCGGACTATTGAAGCGGGTGCTAGGTACCTGTTGCCCTCATACTTTAGATGGATTACGTAAAGCAAATAGGAAGAGTGGTGTACTTTGGGCATGAAAGTTTTACGACGCAACTTTTTTGCAATGGAAACTTACGCTGTAAGGACATCGTCAAAATATATGGCCATCAGATAGCGCATGACTGTAATCGATGGAGGGGGGATTTCGAATATACCAAAATATTGCGTAATGTTATCACGTTAATATATTGGTCCAATGTTAATTTAGTTAAAAAACAGAAACTTGAAGTTTGTATATAACAGATACATTATAATATTTTATCGAAGAAGTTCATTGTATTTCAACAAATAATTTGATGTAAGATGTAACTACAGATTATTTTATGTCAGCAGTTTTTAGATGTTGTTGTTAAGATACATTTTTAATTTAAATTTTTGTTTTCTGAAGTGAACCTGTAGTTAGGTTATGGTAATGGATAGGAATTGTGATAATTACGTAATGCAAAGTTTTCTATAGCATACGAAAATATTATTAATAATATTT